TTTTTTTTTTGTAGAGACAGAGTTTTACTTCATTGCCCACAGTAGAGTGCCATGGCGTCACACAGCTCACAGCAACCTCCAACTCCTGGGCTTAGGCAATTCCCTTGCTTCAGCCTCCCCAGTAGCTGGGACTACAGGTGCTGGCCACAATACCTGGCTATTTTTTTGTTGCAGTTTGGCTGGGGCTGGGTGTGAGCCCGCCACCCTCGGTATGTGGGGCCTGTGCTCTGACCACTGAGCAAAAGACACTGCCCAACATTCCATTTTTCACTGGCCTCATTTCAAGTGCTCAATAATAACCAGAAACAGTGGCTGTCATTAAATATATTGGACAGCACATATATAGACCCTTTCCCTCATTGTAGAAAGTCCTACTGGATAGCCTCTGGCCTAGACAAACATATTTTAGTGTACATATTTTGTACACATACATTTTGTATGTGTGAATGCTTGTGTGTAGGTACGAAATGTTTTTAGACTTTATATTTTGAAATAATGTTAGATTCACAGGAAGTTGCAAAGATAGTATAGAGGAATCTGGTCTGTTCTTCACCCCATTCCCCACAATGCTCACATCTTACAAATATAATAGAATAACAAGACCAGGAAGTTGACATTGATGCTATGCATCTATTTAGTTCTGTAACATTTTATCATATGTGGAGATTTGTGTGACCACTGCTATAATCAAGATGCAGAACTATTCCATCACTGCAAGATCTTCCTCACATAGCTCCTTCATGGTTACACCTTCTTCTCTCCTCCCTCCCTCCCTTCTTCCTTTCTCTTCCCTCCCTCCACCATCCCTAAACTCTGGAAACTATCAATGTCTTTTCCATCTCTATTATTTTCATAATAATATCAAAATAAGATAACATCACGTTATATAATGAGAATATATGGTAAGTGACCTTTTGAATTTGGCTTTTCCCTCTCACTTAGCACAATTTTTTCATATCTGCCTGTATTAAGTGTCTTTTCTGAAAGTTTTTTTTGTCTTTAATTGACATGTAAAAATCATACATATTTATGGGGTACAGGGTGATATTTCAATACGTGTATACATTGTGTAATGATTACCATATCCATTACTTCAAACATTTATCATTCCTTTATGGTACGAACATTCAAAATCCTCTCTTCTAGCTATTTTGAAATATACAGTACATTCTCCCTAACTGTAGTCACCCCACAGGAGAACTTGGTCATCCTAACAGTAACTGTGTACTGATTGACCAGCCTCTTCCTAACCACCCCCTCTCGTGTTGTGTGTTTTATTATTTTGTTCCACCATGATCTTGTTATAAGTAATTCAAGTTTGGTTTCAGTCTCCAGTCTGTCTGCTGTTGTTTACTTTTTCAAACTTTAAAGTTGATATCTGTCCAGAGTTTCACTTGTAATTTGTGAGAGAGGTAATTTGTAAGGGGTTTACTTCATCTTAGCTGGCACCGGAAACTTACCAGTGCTTTTGAAATAAATATACTTATAAGTACATATGAAATAAAATGATTTTTTAGTTATTTAGGAACATTTAAAATGTGATCATAGTGCACTAAAACGTGAATAGTACTTATCTAGGAATAGTAAGGTCGTTTATTTTCTATATCTTGTATTTTCCTGTATTTTTGTGACTAAATGTATTACTGTGTAATTTTGAAAGATCATGATGCGATATTGTCTTCAGATTACTATGTATCCTTAATTTAGACATTGGATTTTTTGATCAGAGGACACAGAATAGTAGAAAAGGAAGAATAGGGGTGTCAGATGGAATTGGTGTTTAAGCACTGGAAGAGACTTCCTTGCACAAGTTACTATTGGGCCCAGAAGATTCTCCAGGCCATCAATGGTTGGAAATCAAGTGGAATAAGCATATTTAACTAGAAAAATACAGCACTCTCAGCCTAATATGGCTAGACGAAACCAGGAAGACTGGATGCAATTAAGGAAAATTTAGTGCTTAAAAGGGTTGACAAAGACAGAGAGAAGGCAAATGATGATTTATGTATAACTGGGCAATGTACACCCTTCCTCTAACATAGAAGTGAAATGGACTAAAGATGTGACCTTACTGTTATTTCCTGTTTACTCATGTTTATTCAGATAGGGTCTTAAGGGGCATAACAACATTGTTCTGAGTATTTTCTGTGCTGCTCAAAACAAGTGAGATAGTTATTCTGGGGTGTTTTTCACCTTCTCAAAATAGAGATCATTGAGAAAGCAAAAAAGAAACATAAAATTCATTTTTCCCCTTACATAATAATTAGTCTCCACTTGACACAAAACACCTTTAAAGGTGGCAACAGGAGCTTTAAGATATGGGTATTAAGGTATATCCCATAGAGACAGCAGATCGAGTTTTATTTGGAACATATGTTAAAATACTTGAATCCCTTTAGTCCCATCCTTAAGAGAATATGAATCCTACTTCTGGATCTGATGGGAATTTTCTTTTTGTTTTTGTTTCAGATTCTGAAAGCAAAGATGTTGACATAGCTCTAGAGAAGACAGCAAGCTCAGAGGTATGGCAGAATCAGAGCCCAGAAGTGCAAAGCTGTACCTTTTTAAGCAACTGCAGGAACTTGAATTCAATTAAATTGAATTTCTGTCTTGAAGCTCATAGTTTGGTAGTAATGTATCTGAATATTTGGCTTCAACCTTTCGCTTAAGAATTCTGTAAAGCTGCATGTCCTTTTTTCAGTCTTATTCTCAGTAGCCATCACAGCACCTAAGGAAAGCCTGATATACTTAAATTAATGTTAGATGCCTTTCATTCTAGCAAAATGAATAAACTCTAGACTTATGGTCAAGACTCGTGATATAGGTGATGTTCTAAGTGTTGATTAAAATTTAGTGCCTTCCCAGGAGAAACCATGCTGTAAATAAGTGTTGCATTTCACGGCCAGCCCCTAAAAACCCTTTGAACCCACGGAACACACTCTGGTGTTATCTAATTGCTAGATAATTTTTAGCATAACCAGTCAGTGCCATTTTAAAAGAAAAATAAATATAGGAGATTGTTTTCATGACTTTAGGGGTAAAGTAGGGTTTCTTAAACAAGAAACAACCCCCATAAATTTTATAGAAACCTGCTTGCTTCATTTCACCTCTCTGGCACTCAGAGAGCTGGGTGCCAGCTAAGAATGATAAAAATAATAATGATAATCATCATTACCCTTGGATTTATAGGCTAATTTACTGCTTGACAGCACTTTACTGTGAATTATCCCACTTATTGTTCATAACAGATCAATTTCAAAGAGGTGGAGAGATGAAGGGACCCATCCCCCAAAGTCTCCCAGTCCATTAGGGGCAGTGTGGAGATTTGAATCCCTGGCACCCCAAGTGCTCACCTTCACCACCTTCAGCACCCTGACTTCTTTGTCCAGAATCAGCTCATCATGGAAACACTGATCCCTCAAAAACTGCTCGATTCTCTGCTGGGCGTCCTTCACTTCATCTTTCCAATCCCCCTCGGGCTGAAGGCTGTGCCTCACGAAAGCATCTAGCCTGTCCCCAGGGGTGTCATACAGATCCTGGGAGGCTGCCATCTTCACAGGACCTGGATGAAATCTTCTTCTCTTCTGCCCAGCCTTGTAAGGGGCAACTTCCAGCCTTTCTCCAGGAGGCTAAAGGACTGCAGAGGGGGCAGAGGGCAGTGGCGGGGGTACAGAGGGGCTTATCCTCCTCTCTTTGAGGTGCAGAGAGTGCTGGAGACAGGTTCTTCCAGAACCGGCTTGATCTAATTCTGAGAGCTGCCTTTTGAGCTCGGAAGGCAAGCCTCCTGCTGGTGGGAAATGGAAACCGAAACTGAACTTTTGTTTATTTTTTATTAGGAACAGAAACTTTGCTCATTTTTGAAAGAGGGATGTTTTCCTTCTGTTTAAGACTGCCAGGAAAATTGGCTGGGGGATCGGACCCTTGGGCCTCCGCATGAATTCTCAGCCTGAGTTTCCCTCAGTGTCCTGGACCTGGCCTGTCCTTTCCCCACTTTTTGCTGCATGGGCCGCACACCCTGACCCCCTACAGGAACTGGGTAGTGCCTGCCCCTGGGGTCAGGGGATGTTGACTGCCTGGGGTGAGGAGGTGGAAGGCTTGTGCTGAGCCTGAGGGGGCCTGGGTCCTGGGATTGACTATTTTCTAAGAGGAAGGACACACTC